TACTCCTAATATCAACAACAAATAATTCACATGGTCTTCCCATTGCTTCATCAGTAGAATACAATACCATATGTCCATCGTAGCTAAATGCACATGTTCTGCATGGTGTTTCATGTCCATAAGTTGTTTTGATTTGACCTGTTTGAACATCCCATAATTTTACAGTACTATCAGCTGCAGCTGACACAAAATAGGTTGTATCCCAATTAACATCAATACACCAAACAGTACCATTATGACCGTTATAAGAACCTAAACGTTCACCATTAACAGAATACCAAACAGATGGGACTTTATCTTTTCCAGATGAAAATAATAAATCGCCTTCACGATTGTAACGAATTTTTGTGATCGAACGGTCATGGGCTTGAAGTAATATGGGCTTCTAAAATTAGATAAGACATTCTCTTCAGGTTGTAAAAAATGTGAGCTGACATGTAAATCTCTCATTGATACAAAGAATTGTTGATTAATACAAATATAATTTAATTAACAAATCCACCTTCAAAACTCATGACGAAGCTATGACGGATTTACTTTCAAAGGTTGTAACATAAATTGTAGGCTGAAGGGTGTGAAAACGGTCACGTTTATTCAAGAAAGAAACCCATCGCGATGCATTTAAAAAGGTAAACAAGTGGTCAATCACTTACCATTCTAGATGGTATAGACTTTTTGATTTTTTATCTAAAACAAGAAAAAGCCTTGAGAAAGAAGTATCCGATGAATATTAACAAATTCAGTTTCAAAACAGCGAGATAGAAGAAGACCATTGTGGTAAGTCTCAAAATGCTACCTATTACATACTAAACTCTACTATGCCTCACACTTTCTTTGAACAACCAACCATCCACTCAGTTAAAGACTAACCACTCAGTAAAAGAAGAAAATTAAAAACAGTGGACAGTGGATTCTACTTTTACTGTTTAATAAATAGACTAAAATAAATAAATAAATATAATGAAAGACAGGAAATGTTGCATAGTTTTATAATAAAAAAAATTCTACTAAATGTTCAATAAAACGAAAAGTCTAAAAATAGAGACAAGACGATAAAACCGGTATATCTACTAAATTATGGTGAGTGTGAGTCGTAATAATAAAAAAAATAAAAAAAAAATTGAAGAAGAAGAACGTTGCGTATTTTCTTGGATTAAAAAAACAAACTGTTAGACAGTTGGAAAATGACTATACTCTTGGTCCCCATGTTCTCTGTGAATTGATGAAATTTAACAATCCATTTGTTGATGCGTCGTGTGTTGTTACAGGTTTAACTTTGTCTAATTCTGGTAGAATAATTTTCGCCAATTGTTTGCCTAATTCCACCCCAAATTGATCAAATGAATTAATATTCCAAATAGCACCTTGTACAAATATTTTGTGTTCATAAAGAGCAATCAAATAGCCTAATGTGAAAGGTGTTATACGGGTTAATACGATAGAATTTGTTGGACGATTACCACGAAATACTTTATGATATACTAGTGCATTATTCTTTATATCTTGTCCTTCTTTTTGAAATTCATCTTCAACTTCTTTTTGTGTTTTACCAAGCATTAATGCTTCGGTTTGTGCTAAGAAATTGGCCAATAATATTTTATGGTGTATATGATTACGAATGGGATTGTGTGTTTCAATTGGTGCAATAAAATCACATGGAATCAATTTCGTACCTTGATGGATTAATTGATAAAATGCATGTTGACCATTTGTGCCAGGCTAAAGAAAATAAGAGTGTAATAGCCATCATATAGGCACATCAGCATTTTACCTCGCCCCAAATTATTGGACCGGTTGAATAATCAACTTGAGCACCATTTTCAGTGCGATATTTACCATTACTTTCCATATCGCCTTGTTGAAAATATGCAGCAAAACGATGCATATATTGATCGTACGGTAAAATAGCCTGAGTTTCAGAACCAAAAAAATTATTGTACCATATGCCTAGAAATTATTCAAATAAAAATGTATAAAAGATAGCAAATAATATTCCTCAAATCGTTTACAAGATCCTCGTGAATAATAACTGATCTTTTAGTCACCTAATAGTGCCATAATAACAGGCACATTTGTTTCTAATTTTTCAGTTTGAAAATGTTGATCCATTTCATATGCACCATTCAACAATTGTTCAAAATTATTAAATCCAATTGAACAGGAAATCGACAAACCAATTGCTGACCAAAGCGAATAACGTCCACCAACCCAATCCCAAAACTCAAACATATTTTCTTTGGCAATACCGAATTCAGTTACCAATTTTGTATTTGTTGATAAAGCCACAAAATGCTTCGCTACATGTTGTTTATTACCAGCTTTATTAAGAAACCATTCTTTTGCTGTTTCAGCATTTGTTATTGTTTCTTGTGTTGTGAATGTTTTTGACGCTATGATGAATAGAGTATGTTCTGGTTGTAATTTGCCTAATACTTCATTTATATGTGTACCATCGATATTAGATACAAAATGAACATGTGGACCATCTTTTCCATATGGTTTTAATGCTTCTGTCACCATTAATGGTCCTAAATCCGATCCACCAATACCAATGTTAACAATATCTTTTATCGCTTCATTGGTATATCCTTTCCAATCACCATTTCTTACCGAGTTTGAAAATTTTTTCATTTGGTCTAATACTCTGTGTACCTAAAAGAGAAATAAATCAAAATGTGTATATAATACATAACGTAGATAAATTTACATCGGGCATAACATCTGCACCATCAACATTAATCGATTTCTGATGAGAACGATTACGTAATGCTGTGTGTAAAACAGCACGCCCTTCGGTAAAATTAATTTTCTCGCCATCAAACATTTTACGTCGATATTCTTCCACTTTACGTTCACGACATAATTGAAATAATTCTTTTAAAATCTCATCATTAATTATGTTTTTAGAGTAATCGAATAATATGGGGCCATCAGTTGTTTCCAATTTAATATGATATTTATCAAAACGTTGTGCATTCTCTGAAAATAATTGACGCATTTCTAAGTGTAAACCAGTTGCATCATATAATTTTTTCAAATTTTTCCAACTAGAACTTTGTGTTACATTAGCCATTTTTATCTTGTCTCGATCGAACGTTCTAAATCTAAAACAACGTAATGTTAAACAATTTGTAAAATGATTGGATGGCGTCACTGTTATTATCTAACTATCCAGATCACTTCTAGCTAGAAAATCAGCCCTAACAGAGGAAAACAGCATTCACCTGCATTCATCGTTACAAAATAAAGATTTTCTTTCTAATATTCATTCAAAACTCACTAGGTCTACTAGATAGATAAAGATGAGACAGAAAGTCGTCATAAATTTACACACAATATTCAACTTACAACGTAAACATGAGTAGGGCGAAAAAAAAAGTGTTTTGAACATTAGACGACAGTCTAAAAGTCAAATAAAATGAGACAATATTGATGTTTCTAATAAACTATATTTTTCTTTTTGATGCTTCCAAGCTAACAAACTTGAATATTGAATTAATTATGATACTTTATTTGTCCAGTCATGAATATTATCAGACTCTTGTTTTATTTCACTGACAATCATTTTCATTCCTTCTAAATGTTCATTATGTTAAATTATTATCAATTCTTCTTGTCACACATATTTTTTAGACTTGTTCAACTCTTTAACATTTATCATCTACGACCTCTTTCTGTATTCTATCCTCTTTAGCATGTTTACTACTGTTCTCTAGATCTGAGTTGAACCGATTGAAAAAAGTCGCAGCGGACCGGCTGATTTAAGCGGAATAATCAACCGATAAAAAGACAATGTATTTTAAATAAATTTTGTTGTAAAATCTTGTTTTATCTTGTTTCTTTTACTTATTTATTTCTAGTGCATAGCTTGTTTCTATACTTTTACTAATAAATTCGTATATGTTTCGCAGCGGTCATCGCGTTGTAAATCGTAGACTTTTAATAATTTCTCAGTTTTCTGAAAAACTCAACTTAGACTCACAACAAAATGTTAACAGCTAAACGATGCTATAAACAAAAGTATATGTATAGATCATGAAGTAGAAAACTTAGACTTTCGCAATCCTTAGGCTACGTTCACACTACACAACTTATGGACATGAAACACCATGCAGAACATGTGCATTTAGCTACGATGGACATATGGTATTGTATTCTACTGATGAAGCAATGGGAAGACCATGTGAATTATTTGTTGTTGATATTAGGAGTA